AGCAACAGTCGACAGTACCCGTATTGGGAGCCATTGACCAACTGTGTTGGAGAGACCCCAAGGGTCCGCAGTGGTCACACGGCGTGCATCTACCGATCGAGGTAGGCAAAGTCTGATGGTCCCACTTGAAGTTAGCTGGCCAGGTTCCTCTATATTTTTGGTGGCTTCGATGGCCAGCAGTGCTTCGACGACCTCTACCAGCTGGACCTGCACAGCCTGGCCTGGTCCAAGGTCGAGGGTCATGGCGACAAGCCCAGCGGACGGGCCTCCCACACTGCCGCCTCAGATGAACTGGCGGGGTCCATGTTTGTCTTTGGTGGTAGCGGCTCCCACTTTGGGTACACCAACAAGTGTGACCTGTACGAGTTCGCCTATGATACGAGCACATGGTCATTACTCTGCGAAGTTGGTATATCGACGGTCGCTTCCTCCCTGCGGCCCACCTCTGCCACCGATGGAGGCCGTGTTGGTGTCCCTGTCAGGGGAGCTGCTGAATCAGAGCCTCCACAAGTAGTAGCAGGTATTGGTGGTCCTCATACTGCTACTACTACGGTGAGCCCGGTGGGCACGTCGTTGGTTGTACTCATTCTATCAGGGAGACTCCCCACCGCCGACGACGCTTCAATTGAGCCCAGAGATGCACGATGCGCCGACAGCACGGTATGGCCAGTGCATGGTCCAGCATAAGGAGCAGCTGTACATATGGGGAGGAACCCATGGCACCAACTACCCGACCGACATGCATAGATTTGACCTCATATCCAAACGGTGGTTTGGCGTGGCGATGACAGGCGAGCAGCCAACTGGGAGGTAGGTCCAGACCACCACAGTTTTCTGTCGGTGGTACATCCTCGTGACAGGTACCGTCACCAAGCTTTGGTACGGAATGACTGTATGTATGTCTTTGGGGGCTCGGGCACGGCGCGTTATGGTGATGTATTCGAGTTCGATCTATGCACCAACACCTGGAAACGTCTGGTCTGCTCAGGGGTGGGCCACTTCCAACAGGGCAGGTCGGTGGGTGTCCCCGCTATGGCACTGCATGCTACGGTTCCTTCCAGATACGCT